CACTTAGTTATTTTAGATAATGACATAGAAGAAAATAATTTTGCAGTATTCGAATATGTAGGAGGTAACTAAATTTAAAGTAAAGTTGATGTGGTCAAATCAGCGGCATCTACTTTCAAGAAAAAGTTGACTTTTTTTAATTACCTGGATTTCAACAAAATTTTATTTTTCATTAACTTTTGCTTCATACCTTATGACAAATGAAAGTAAAATAAATGAAAAGCTTTTCCTCACATCCATTTAATCTTAATTTTGTAACTCATAATGATATGGAGTATGGGCTAGTATTATAAAATAGTTATTGGAGTGTCAACGATTTTAAATCATAATTAGATTTTATGAATATTAAATTCTTTTTTTTTTCGTTTTCTATTTGTTAGTGAAATGCTTTAATGGGATATTTAAAATGATAGCATATTTCTAATAAATAATATCTTTTTTGAAATAAGTTGAATGTTAGAATCATGGGGAAATTTTTAGAAGATAGAGGGGCTTAATTTTTTAAGAACATAGTGCAATTATGTGATAAAAAAATTTAGTTTTTGTGGAATTGAGAATTATTACTAAAAGATTATGTGATGCCTATGGTAATTTCTTAAATTTCTTGGATCTATTATATGTTGGAGTGCTAATATGAATGAGGTTATAAATTCTAGAGATATAAATAAGTATTTAAAATGTAAAAGTGTTATGGGAGCACCATGTTATAAGTGAATATCATAGAGAATTAAAGATTAATTTTCTCAAATTATTGATAAACTAGTTATGCTATATGGATATTAGTTTTGGGTGATGAACAATTCAATAATTGCCATGCTGAATGAGGAAGAAATTAGAATTTTGAGAATGGACTTGTGTCAAACTAGAAATGATAGATTGGATTGATTATTTAAGAGGGATTCTGGAGTAGCACACATTTAAGATAAAAATTGAAAAATAAACTTCGGTTTTTCAAAAATGTACAATTCTAGGGGAGAGATACAATAAACATGGGTAGATAAATTTTGTGTTTGTAATATGAAGAGATAAGGTAATTAAAACATAAGATTGATAAAAATTTTTGAAAGATATTTGTATGAATATAAATATATTTATATATATATATAGCAGTTCTTAAAGTACTTGAGAGATATCAATGCATAGTGAGCCGGCCCCCAATAGTTGGTTGATATAAGGTTATGACGAGTATTCATTACATAGAGAGGATGATTTGGATATTATAGTATATTAACTAAGACTTTTTTTTGAAGTTTTTGCATTACGAACTTTAGCTTTTACTTCCGTGCCCTCTTCCTTCATTATGTATGCTTATCGTGTATTCTTTTAACAACTCTTACAGTGCTTGATAGAAAGCAATGTTGATTGAGATTCACCGAAATGGTCCTCAATAGCTGTTGTAAGGTTGCGATGATTTGCATATTGTGAATATTGACTCATATTATCTTTTGGATGCATTTGCGATCACCATTTTTTTTTTTAATTGTCATGCTAATTTTTTTCATGTATGATTTTATTATTAAGAGGAGGGCTCTTCATTTTTTTTTCTATCTTTCAAGTTTCTTATAAGAGCTAGTGCACAAAATAGTTATCGGCATTTTGTGGGGGTTATTTCTTTCTTATGAATGTGCTGAATTTGACCGCTTGACTCTTCAAATATTATTCAAACTAGTCGCATTAATAGAATGTGTAATTGGATGAAAAAGTTCATGCAAGAGGTATTCCTTGGAGATTAAATTTCATATAACTTTATGCCGTTTGATATAATATTTTAGTTTTATTTATTATTATTAAATCTTGTCTTTATTGAAGTGAGTTCACCTAAAAACTAGTTTGAGATTATCGAGCAGTTGTTGCTGGCGAAGTTGACGAGCAGCTCGACTAGCCATTAAGATCATAATAGATAGAAAAAATGAACTTTTGAAAAAGAATATCACAGAAAGAAAAAATAAACCCACTTAAGTATGTCTCCATCGCTAGAGGATTAATGTCCATTGGGCGAGATGTGAACCTTGTCCTTGAATTAACGTCTAGTCATGATACACATCCAATTGCTTGTTGATCTCATTTAGTAGATAGGCAACCTCACTTTGATGAAGAGAAGGATTTACTAGTAGAAAGAAAAATTAGAATATTAAATTAAGAAGTATAAAGCTACTTAATGGATTTAATCTTTAGGTAATGTATCCGACGTGAACGTGTCATCCATTTACATAGTTATTCTAGCAGTGGGATTAGTTTGGATCAATTTCAAAGATTTAATAGACCAATTGACATTCAATTATTTGAGTTTAAAATTGGCCCCTCACAAGAACTGCTAGAATCATTTGGGCATTTCCTCGTTACAAGTATTTTATAATGGGAAAGGGTGGGATAAAAAATTTAGCACTTCCATGTCAATTGTTAATATGAATATTGCCCTGACATATCATGCGACTTTGGGCAATAATGTAATTTTAGCATGGAAGAACTTTTTCTCTTCAAAAGATAACGATGAAGCATCTTTGTAACCTTGGTCTTTGTAAAGTGAAACAACTATTGGAACTCCTAGATGATTACAATATGTGATCAGACTACATGTCATCATGTTAAAAGGTTCTTACCACCAATATTACCACATTACCTGAATATGTCTGTATTTTTCTAAAAAAACATGATGTAAATTGAATGATTATTTTTCCTAAATTCGTGGCTTATATGGTGCAAATTATAGCTTCAATGAGTATCCATCCACAAATGTGCTTATAAATGCTGAAAAATTATTCATGTCTACCATTCAATAATTAGTTATGGTTTGATAACATAGAAATCCATGTTCCTTAGCTTTCATATCTTGCTTATCCACTTTTCACTAAAATTTGTATGATATAAATGTATAGAAAAATGAGTTCTTCTATTTTTACCATTGTCATGGCCCGACTTGGGATTTTGGAATGTTAAAGCGGGAATTGACGATCAGACAAATAAAACACTATCTAAACTTTATCATTGCTTAAAAAATAATGCAAAACAAAAAAATAATCATTTATAAGACAAACTTTAACCGGCGAAAAATTATTTTGGTTTATAAATTTTACAATTGGTAGAAAAGTAAAAACCGAAATGCTTTACCTATCACCTTGGATTGCTTGACGTTTGTAAACACTTTTTAGAACCCATCTACTCTCAAGGAGATTTCATTGAAAAATTTACAACTGACAGTATGAGTGAAACAATGCAATGAGTAAAATATATTTAAATTATAATAATTATTATTTTTTAAAATTTTATAAAATGCTAAATTTGAATTTTTATAAAAGTCAGAGATAAAGTTGTAAAAAGAGAAAAAACTAGGATAATTTTATTTTACTTTTTTTTTTATTTCATATAAAACATTTATCAATGGAAGTCATCGCGTAAATGTGTGCTTAAAATACACCATTGATAACCTTTTCTAAAACCCACCAAAATGTAGGCAATCATTTCTATTTTCTTTTCTTTTTTACGTGCACAAGTATATTGATTCCCCAACCAGTATCATACGAGAGTGATTCCACATTTAAATATGCTTATGCATATATCATACTTTATTGCCTTCTTTTATTTTAATACTTGTCTTAAATAATTTAAGCATATGAAAAATAGAAAAATTGTAGTTTTAAAGGAAAATACTAATAGCATTGAAAGCATTTGCATTTGATTATAGAAATAAAAGAAACTACTGTAAAATACAAATATGTTTACCCACCTGTTTAGTACAGTTTGATTCCCTTCCTCTAGTTAATTTATTTCTTTGATGCACCTATAGCAACGAACCTATAGTAACGAATTAGACTTATCGGCTTCTATCATTTTTGGCATTTTTTAATATTAATTCCAACTTATTATTATTTATTTGATACATTCATTTGTAATTTATCTAATTAATTGGCTATTTGTTACTTTATATGAAAAAAAATATATTTTGTATATTGTGTTTCCGATAATATTCATATCTATATAAATATTCGAAGTTCATCTCTCTTTTTTAGAGTTTCCAATTAAGTAATTTAGCAGTATTTCTTATTTTTGATGAAATTATTTCATTACATAATGTTAATACATATAATAATATGTAACAAATAAATCAGTTAATTTTCAGATTTTTGTTAAAGTTCCTAAATTTTTTTTCTTTTTTTTTAATGCTGAAATTAATATTTTAATGACTTTCAGAAGTTTAAATTCTAATCTAACTTATTCTTACTCTCAATTAACAAAATAAAGGAATGTACTATTGAAATTTAATGTTATATGCTTGAAATTTCCTCTTACTATTTTTTTTTTCTCAACCTCTAAGTCAAAAGCTCTAACAGAACTTTGCAAAAATTCAAAAATTTGAGTTATGGTTTTCAGAAATTTCTTCAATCATTTCATGGAGCTCATAAAACATAAAAAGAACTAAATTTCGGTTTTGAAATGTTTATCTAAACACAGAGAACCCCACTATATCCTTGTTCTTGAGCTGCCTCTTGCGCTAGGAGCCCTCCCACAAATAGGAATGGCTTCTGCTTGCGTTGCTCGAGACGCTCGAATCACCTTGCATGATTGCTTGCCCGCATGATCATTGCCTCCCCTTTTTCGATTTCTCAAGCTCATTGCCGCTCGAAAGACCAGAGGAAGCGCTGCTGATTCTTCCTTTTCCTAGCATCGGCCGTGTCTCGCCCTCCCTCCCTCGCTTGCTCTCCATTTCTCTAATGCCATGGAGGAATGAGCAATAAGCCCTCTCTTACATTTACTGTTCATATGGAATGACGGTGCGTTGTAGATAAGCCCTCAAATAATAGTTGTAGGCATCGAGGGCTTCATTCGGATGACACCTGTTTTGCAGGTGTCGTCAGCAGGTTGACAGTTAATATCAATTTTTTTTGATATTATCTTTAGTTAATTATTTATTCTTTCTTAATTAATGGGTAAAAGATTATTATTACAACCACCTTAGTCTTTTTGCTTGAAATATAATGCGACTTTATTTTGTTTATATGTAGAAATTACTGAGGCCGTGTCATCCTTATCTGCCAAAAAGACAATTAGCAAGGTGATAAAGTTCTTTCCACTAAAACTCTTAAATTTTGTTTCACCACATTACTGGTTATTTTTAAAAATTCCTGAGATACCTTCATTGTATGGACAGCTTTCTAACAGGGTATGATGCGTTCTTTGTACTCTTAATTTGTTAGCAGTGTTTTTTCTTCCTTGGTGAGTTGCACTTTTCTGTTTAGCTAAATTGTTTTTCCCATAACGAGAGGAAGTAAAACGAGCACCTAATAATAATAAATAAATAAATAAAGGAAAGGAGTGTTGGTGTGGTGAGCTGTGTTCAGGAGAGTTGGAGACCATGCGATAGTTTAATCTAAAATCCTATCTTTAATGTTTATTGAACATTTCGACAATTAAACCGGCATCGGAGTGTTAGAGTTGCATATTAAAGTTACAAACGTGAAACCCTGTTTCCTTTACAGGAGCGGTCATCAGAATCATTTTCTAAAACTCATTTAGGTTGTGCAGCACATTTCTTTCATTAATGTGTAAAAGAAAGAAAAATGTATGGTTAAATTATATTGATGTTTATGAAAATAGTTATCCTGGAATGATGAGGTATCCGCTTGTTATCTAATTGATGTTGAGTTTTAACTATTGCACTGTCACTAGCAAGGAGTTATGTGTAAGATAGCAAGTTAATCGAGACCTGAATAATTTTCACAATTGAAGATTTATTCTTGATTGTGGAAACATCCTCTCTGCGTATGAAAGGCAAAGTCATATAAATCAACTCTCTGCTTGACAGTAGTTTATATTGTCCCTTTCTTAATAACTGTTTTGTTAGAAAATCTTCACTTGAGACATACCTACTAGATTTACCAATTTAAAAGCTTTTTTTTTTTTATATTACCAGGAGTATAGGAAAAATACTCATTTTAAAACTCTTTATTGTATTTGAATTTGATAAACATAGTTTGATCAACTTTGTACACGAAATTCATATATGCTATTGATTTTAATTATTTTATCCTGAACATTTCAGTTTAAATTGTAAAATACACTATTAGTTAAACTCCTGCGTATTTAATTTTTCATCATACATGTTTTGACCCTCTAATTAATTTTAATCACATTTTCGAGTATCCATGCAAACCCAATTGGACATGTTCCAAAGAAATTCAAAAAATTACTTTAGAATGCCTTTGTTATTTCTTTTTATTTATATTTTTTCTCCTTTTCTCTTTTTGTCGCAGCAACTTATTGTTATATTTCCATTGCTTTCAACATTTTACATGAAAACAATTCTACTTCTTTACTCTGTGCTTGGATTCTTTACTTGCATCTGCTAATTCTCTATCATGGTGTGCTGAGTATAAGGATAATAAATTTTACTCCAAAATTTGGTTTGTAGTTAGACATCAGACAGTTTGATTGCTTATGTTAGCGTTCACTCTTGCCGTCTGGAACTTTTGTTAATTAAATGTAAAGACAAAATGCTTTTATACTGAACTCAGGGTTAAGGCTCGGATGGTGCACTTAGGTAGTGTTTGATCCAGGAGCAACAAGCTGCCGAGTGCAAGCCACTGTACAAATATTTTTCCTGCATCCATCAATTTCGAGTAGTCAATCCAATAAAGTGGCTTGGTTTGTTTTATAACCATTGAATGAACTTTATCCAAAAGAAGATTCAACTTTCTTTAAGGCTGAATCGATCCAAAGACAAACTAACTAGGGTCCGAATAGGTTGACAAGGATGTGGGGAATTGAAGGTAAATACGGTTCTGTTAGAAGATAACATGCCAGAGATATTATTAATTTTATGTCAACATTAAAATAAGACGAAAGATGATAAATCAGAGATCTCTAAATTTGTAATATAGACAAAAGATGATAAATCAAAGATCTCTAAATTAGTAATGATCACTTATTTGTAATATATGAGAAAAACTTTTTCATAAATAGTGAAGATTTTTGTAATAAGGGATGAACATTTTTGACCCCCCTAAAAGTGCTATGTAATAAAATCTCTTGATTCTTTCTTAGTATTTTCAACTTGTTCTTCCCCTTATTTATAGCTTTTTTCTTCAGGTGTGACTCCATGGACAGATCAAAATTCAACATATTTTTAAGGTGCAGTGAGCATGAGTCATACCACAAACAAGTGGGGTTATACAAGGAGCAAAACCAAGTAAGAGAGATAACTTTTAACATGGATTGTATTAGAGAATTCTTTACTAAACATATCAATGAATTTATGGAGCCGGTGACAATGATGATGAGAGAAACATTAGCACAAACTTCAGGGAATTGAGCTCCCCCACCTCATTCAGAAGCTTTGATATGACGGAGGAGAGCTCATAATTGAAATAAGAAGGGCTCTGTCGCTTGCTTTAGTGGACGATGATAATATTTACTACTAATAGCGTATGATCGACCTGTTTGAGTATGAAGGAGGGAGGAGAGTCGAAACCCCTCAACCAAACTAGTTGGAGAACGCATTCTCCCTGGAAATCACTGAAGCAAAGACACGGAGCACTTCTAGATTCTATCTTTAAAATCTTACCAAGGGAGGTTGGATCCCTCAAATCATATCACTTATTACGTGTCTATTGTCTACCTGCTGAGGACACTCTGAAGTGTCAACTATTTTTTTATGACTTTGATGGAATTAATGTTGAGATGGTTCAATAACTTGCTTCTTAGAGTGATTAGCTCCTCTGTGAGTTCTCCAATACTCTGATACCATATAAGAGCTCATAGGTTATGTTGTGAATTTGCGAGGAATCAAGTGAGATCCTGCGAGTTTTTGTTATTCTCTTTTAGAGGGAGGTGTTGCAGGTTCGAAATCTAAAACCCGCAATCACCCACACCACGTTGGCTCAAAGACTAATTGAAAGTTACGCACTCGACTTGCAATGCCCTTAGACCTTACGTAGTGTCGGAGCTAGCCTCCAATCACATCTCCATGGGAGAGTACAATTCACTTCCTATTGCCATTCATATGGGGTATGCTGAGATGCACAACTAGATTAGTAGGGGCCTTGTCAGCATGTGCAATCTATAGTGAGGTCAGATTTTGAGAAGCACCAACCACAACCTTTCATGGAGAAGACACGTGCAAGAAAGGCAAATCCATTCAGTGGAAGGATGAATTCAACATTAGAAGAGGTGAGTTGGCTGCCGAGTGGAGAGGAGGTTGCTACCACATACCCACCAACTATTTACAGAGTCTCTATAATTCTCAATTACCAAGATAGTAGGGGCCATTCAAAATATGAATATTTTCGTAACTAATGCCCATAAAAGTAGGTTAATATCTGTGTGACTCTCAAAGGTATTGTGTCTATCATTGTGATTATGGTCACAACACTAAGAAATGCCGACACCTTATAAGTCTAATCAATGACTTGATCAAAACTGAGAAGCTTAAGGAATTTGTCATGTAAGAGCAACAATGCAAATTCATGGAAAATGGTTGTTCAAAGAATCCTATAGCGAGTCGGTTCATGCTCAGGCAATCCACATCGCGAGCGTAGTATTTGCCACATTCGATAGAGATAAGATAGAAGCATCCCGCGAGACAGGCGTTAGAGTTTTCACTCAGGAGAAGTGTGTTTGGCTATTTTATCCCGTTGTCAAGTTATGAATCCACCACCAGTCATCTTCACCGATGAATACCTTTTAATCAAAGAAAATTATTATAATGACGCTGTAGTGATTACTGTATTGATTGTTAATTACTCGATTGATAATATTTTTATAAATACAGAGAATACTGTTAATATTCATTTTAAAACTATTTTTGATAAGATGAACTTTAGTTCAAGGCCTATTTTCTACTTCAAGCCTCTTGTACGGATGGATTGTCAAGCGGGAAGAAAAAAACATGGGAGTCATAATGTTGTCCATCACTTGAGGTAAAAATGATAAACAATTCAAAATAATAGTTGACTTTATCAAACCAGACTCTTCGACTTCTTATCATGTCATTTTTTGTCTTCAAATCCTCAGCAAATTTAAAGCAACCGTCTCTGTCAAATCTCAGGCGGAGGGGAAGTTGTCACTGTCTAGGGATACTTAGAGCAATCATGCAGTTCCTATCTATGAGCAGTAGGCAGTGTCCATATAAGATCTTACATATATAAGCATAGTGTGGGAGCGGTTTGGAGATGAGTAAAGTCATAGAGGGAGTTATTACTAGTAAAGATGAGTCAAATCAAAACTTTCTGACTTAGCACTGTTATTGATGCTGGACTCAACGATGAGTTAGTTGCCATTCTACACAAATATCGTGATGTATTCGCTCGCTTAATTGAAAAAGTGCCAGGTGTCGATGTCGTCAACCATATATTGTGTAACATCCCAAACTCTCATCCATCAATATATTATCTGCTTTGGCTTAGTATTCTCATAGTTTTCTCTTATTGGTGTAGCTTTTCTGAAGGTTGCCCAACCCATGAGTGCTCCCTTTTGACCTTATTTTTGATTTTGAGGTCTATTTTTGAGGTCATTACTCTTTTCCTTAGAATCCTAGGATCTAGCTCTAGGGGTTCCTATTGACTATCTTAGAAAACTAGTATTGGTATCCATCCCCTTAAAAATTCCAGCAACTTCCTATTTCTCTTGTGATGTCTCGCATTGATGATCTCAAAACCATCATCGTATGGTCGAGTGGTTAAGGACTATCACGTGGAGACTTGGGGAGAAGTTCCCAATAGGATTCCCAATAGGATCTCAAACTCTTCAGGAGAAGTTCCCAATAGGATCTCAAACCCTAGGAAAACCTCTTCAGGACTTTATCATCACACACACACAAAAAGCACTTGCACAAAATCATTGCACAAAATCAGACTTAAATTGAGCTTAAAGGATGGGTGAAAGTGCGAACTTCTCCGGACGACCTCCAATGACGAAATATACTGCGCCAATGTGTCCGAGACACTAATTTTAATAAGAAAAGACACTCATATTGTCATAATTCTGCGCAGAAGCAAGTCACACGTAAATCGATGAATTCATTGAAACGAACTCTGACGACGAAACATATCACGCCAA